CAAAATACACAGGTTTTCTTCAAATTTACGTTACTGCAGGCACCTTAGGTTTCTCCGCTCCTGCTGCTTCCAGGCACAAAGACAACTGCCCCAGCTGGTCCGTGTCACTGAAAGCATCTCTTTATTTACTAGTGCAGACCACAGGAACCATCCTCAGCTTTCTTTTCGACACAGGTGATGTTCTGAACATGCAAGAATCCATTCATTGAAGGAGTGATAGATAAAAATGCGGAACGGCAGGGAAGAGCCAGCCAACAGCTCTGCATCTCTTACTTTTTACAGAGCCCTGTGGGTCAAAGGAGCAAACGGAGAAGGGTTTCTCACAGGTAGACAAAGGTCAAAACACTTTTTCTCTCTTTACAGCAAGAAACAGCCACGTTATTTCCTGTTCTCTCAATCCAGAATAGTCATGTTGAGACAGTCAACTACCTCGACTGAACGCAGGCAATGTCATGTTTCACAATGTAAAAAAGTGCCGAGAAAGACGTCGGATGTGAAGGCAAAGACTGAAGACCACCAATTTGGTAAAAACACCTGGGACAGCACTTGAGAAATAAAAAAAAAAATTACAACTGAGGACCAAAACGTCATATAGAGATGCACACGTGTGCAGACAACACACACACGTACTCACAGACCCACAGAGTCTGTGGCAGAAATGCTTGCGATTCAGCACCAGTGAATATTGCCCGCATGCGGAGACGGTGAGGGGAGAAACCTGCCCCTGAAAACATCTTCCCAGGAGCCTCTCATCCCCCACAACCTTCCTCCTCTTTTGCAGCAGCCCCCTCATCAGCTCCTCTGAGCAAGCACAAGTCGAGACCTCACTTTTAAGTCCAAGTTCTCTGAAACAAGGTGTTATCACTTTACAGAGAGGCCGAGAGGTGCGACACAGCACGTTATCCACACACATGCACATATTAAAAACCTAAGACCCTTGTGCAACACTTCATCCCGACCAGTAAACGTACATCGTCATTCCAGGAATATTTTCTGTCAGGAATGGTTATTGTTCTGCTCCTGGATGATGGCTGGGATACACGGCTCTGCAGGCATCGTTATCTCGCTCAGGAAAGCAGAGATGGAAAAGGGCTGAGAAAACACGTCCATCAGCAACGCCAGCTTCAATCCTCATCCCATTCTGATGCAACGCTGCATTGTTGTGTTACCCCCTCTCCCCCAAACTGTTTAATAAAACATTTAATAATTTTTTTCGTAGCAGTAAACAACACATATGCCAAATGCACTGAACCTTCTATTAAGAAACAATAAATATCTCAGCTGCTTTTAGATAAAAAGCGTAGAAATTTCACTAAGGCAGAGGAAGAGCAAGTCGTGTTACTTCCTTTCTACTCCTCTAAATCCTTTAGAAGAATTACTTCTTAATTGGCTAATGTTTGTGTTTCTGAAAGTACTAAAAAGAAACAGCTTTACAGAATATACAGTACTTTAAAGATTAGATTAATAACCGCACTAGTTATTTAAATCTTTACTGATAAGAAATGTATCTTTCAGAGAAACCTGCCCACAATATTGCTGACCGCACAACGTTTCTGATTGTACAGAGATACCATCAAGAGACACTGAAGTTGCCTGACACATAGCAGCACTGTGGAGGAAACTTAATCTGTGTATAAACATAATTTACAAATTTACAGATTTCACCTCTTTACCAAGGCAATACAAAGTATTTATAGCAGTAATGAAGAATCTGCTTGTACACTTCAGATCCGAAAGAGTGGTAGGAATATGAAAAAGTTGGCCCATGGTCTTTAGACGACCCAGAGGTGCCAGGTTGGGCAACAGCTGAAGCTGAGACAACATTCTTATGCCCAAAGTAACTGGTCTCCTGCAGGGACATCTGAACAAGGAGTGAACCTGCTCCTCAGCTGCCTGCAGACCACCAGTTGTTCATGGAAAGATGCTAATCTGAAAACTCAGGCATTTCAGCCTCAAACCCACCTCCTCCAGAGCTCTGGTACCTGGGGGCAGCAGAAAGTCAGAGGTGATAAAACACTGCAGCTACCCCAGGGAACTGGTTCAAAGCAAAGGCAAGGTGGCATCTAAACTCACCCCTGCCAAAAATAATCTCCCTGCTTTTAAATTTTTATTTAATAACTACTGCTAGAGTGCAAACAGGACACAGAAATATTAATCTAGAAAGGTTGTCTTTGATACAAGTGATGTATTCTAATTGTAGCCTCACAACAGTCTCTCAAAACCTGTGTGAAAAAAACCTCTGACAATGCAGCCATTATCTCCAGCATTTAGCATCTTGTGCAAGCATTCTTTTTCTTCTTTCATCAGTTTGTCAAGCAACAATTTAAATTTCCCAACAGGGAAACAACTGTTCTGTGTTCCTGACTTCAACAAGTTACTTCAGCTGGGTCACAACATTCACAATATTCACCTTGCATCCAAAAGTTTCTTATACTTAAATGAAATCAAACCTGAAAATTGCTTTTTGTTGTCCTCACCCTGAAGACAAGAAATTCCAAGAACTCCTCAAAGTGGAAACTTTACAAGCAAGCTGTTCTCCAACCTCCCAATTCACTTGAGCTGTCTGCAAAGCAAGTATTAATGGTGGATTGTTTGTCGTATTTACAGCAAGTTTATTGGGGAGAGGGCAAGTAATTCTTTTACAAATGAGCCATGTTCACTATTGAGATTACTTCCAAAGAGAGCATTCAGAAAGCAAACCTAAATATATTACATTGACAATTATTTTTCAATATTTTAACATCGGCCACTTAGAATCGGTTGTGTTATTAGCACATACACTGATCTTTAAATATACTACTTCTACATAAACAGTGCATATCTCAATATTCACATCAACCTGAAATTAATGCTGCAATTACTGTTGACATTCACATCAAGAAAGTAGTAAACTATTTCACATGAGCAATTCCAAAACCTCAGAATGCCATTATTAATGTTAAAGAAACACAGAACAAACATGTTGGGCTTCAAAGCCTTATTTTGATACACACAATCCCTGTAAACATGGATGTATTGTATTTGTCAATACTGATATCTGATATAATTCTATAAATAAAACCACTGATATAAACAATTCCTATAATCTTTCTTGCATAGGGTTTGGATTAAGGTTACTTTAAGCTAGAGCAAGCTGTTAACAAAATCCCTAGTCAATTAGTCTTCCATCACACAAATTTAGGTGCATGATTAACTTCTCACAAGGAGTTTCTCCGACTTCAGTGGAAACCCACACCTGTAACCATTTGCAAAACTGGAGTCATCTTTAGCACTTAAGTTACCCTTTAGTCATTGAGAATATGAGCAATAAAAAAGCTCTCCATAAATTTATAAAATATACTGATTTAAAAGTTTATGCTGATGTTTCTAGAAGTCACATTTATGAATCCAAACAGTTATGTACATACTATACTATCACAGTAGGAAATACTTCACTGTAGAACACCACAGTGAACAAGTTGTGAAGCACAGTGTTCAAGAGAATTTCCCTTTAGTATTCCCAGTGCATAAGTTCTTAACATCTACACTACACAAGGTGCCCAGGGCTAGTCTTTGTCATATACAAGGTAAAAGCAAGTTAGAAAGAGCTCTGCAGTTTAAAGTAAGGAATGAAAACGGTGGGTAATATACAGGGATTCACTCCTGCAAAGCACAGAATTCTCCTTCACGATGACCACGACCACCAAGTACGGTGGATTTCGGGTCATTCAACCCAGTAAAACAGTGCTCAGCACCTTGGAGGAAGAGAGATCTGAGTGCACTTTAGTATAAAACATCTCCTTTCGATGTTATAAAGTGCAAAAAAAGGAAACATATATTCTAGTATTTTACAGTCACTATTAAACTGCCGTATTTGCACAATGCAAAATTCAAATAACTCGGTACACATTTTGTATGGACCCTATAATAACAAATATTGAAACTGGAGTTTTTGCATCTTTAAAAAAATCTTAGTATTTTAAAGTTATTGTGTAAATACAAAAAGAAAATATAAATTATAATTAATTCTTGAAATAGATATTTTTAACATGTGACAATTTTCCAAAGCATTCAATAGGAAATTTCACTTTCTCTTATAGCATTACATTTTAGAATCTGTAAAACACTTTAAAAGTTAATAACTTCAAAAAGTAGAAATAAAAATTATTGTATCACAGTACTAGACACCTCACCTTATCAGACATCTTTTTACCCTACATGGTTTTTTAAAAAATTAAATAAATAAAAAAAATAATCTAAGACTTATATTACCAGCTGTTTAGAACAAGATACATGGAGTTACTTTTTAAAACAACATAAGAGTTCCGTAACGCCTCTTTTTGCTCTTAAAATTCAAATAAATGGGATAGAACGTAACCACAAATTTAAAAGGCCTTAAAGTACTACTGCTTTGGTGCATTGAACCAATGGTTCCTTACATGCATGAAGAATCAAATTCTATGATATTCTTCACAGAGCTGGGCAAAAGTAGAAGATCAAGAGTTCTATACATGTTACAGAATCACAGAACTGTAGGGGTTGGAAGGGACCTCTGGAGATCATCTCCTCCAACCCCCTGACAAAGCAGGGTCACCCAGAGCAGGCTGGACAAGAACACATCCAGGTGGGTTTTGAATATCTCCAGAGAAGAAGACTCCACACCCTCTCTGGGCAGCCTGTTCTAGGGCTCTGGCACCCTCAAAGTAAAGAAGTTTTCCCTCATGTTGAGACAGAATTTCCCATGTTCCAGCTTGTGTTCATTGCCCATCCTGTCACTGGGCACCACTGAGAAGAGCCTGACCCCATCTTCTTGACACCCGCCTTTTAGATATTGATACGCATTGATGAGGTCCCCTTTCAGCCTTCTCTTCTCCAGGCTAAAGAGACCTAGGTCTCTCAGCCTTTCCTCATCAGAGAGATGCTCCAGTCCCTAAGCATCTTTGTAGCCTCCACTGGACTCTTTCCAGTAGTTCCCTGTCCTTCTTGAACTGGGGAGCCCAGAACTGGACACAGTACTTCAGCTGGGACCTCACCAAGGCAGAGTAGAGGGGGAGGATGACCTCCCTCAACCTGCTGGCCATGCTCTTTTTAGTGCACCCCAGGAGACCGCTGCCCTTCCTGGCCACAAGGGCACATTGTTGGCTCGTGGTCAACTTGTTGCCCACCAGGACTACCAGGTCTCTCTCTACAGAGCTGCTCTCCAACAAGTCAGGCCTTCACCTGTACCAGTGTGTGGGGTTACTCCTCCAGTGGTGCAGGACCCTACAATTGCCCTTGCTGAATTTCATTAGGTTCCTCTCCACCCAACTCCCCAGCCTGTCCAGGTCTCTCTGAATAGCAGCACAGCCTTCTGGTTGTGTCAGCCACTCCTCCCAGCTTTGTATCATTGGCAAACTTGCTACGGGTACACTCCACTTTCAGAGTTACACTCTGCTGACAGAGCTTTCCTTTCTTAGAACAGTGGGGAAGAAACTGGGAGGAAGATTCTGACACTGAGGAACAGTCTTCCTCAAAGCTGCACCATGAGCAGCATAGCTCCTTACCTTGAGCTTGACTGCACACTAGTAATTTAGCCCTAAAAGAATACGATGTGGTTGTATAATAGTATTATACCATATCCAGTGATACCAAACTTAATGCTAAAAAGAAATGTACTGAAATACAAAGCTAAAAAGGATGATTGAAATACATTTTTTAAAGCGACAGACGTAGTCCTGTAGCCTGTAAGCCATATGGAGGAAAGGTGGGAGAAGATGATATAGGTACTGCCAAGTTTATAACCGCTTAAATCTTCAAGCTGGGACATCCTCTGCTTTTCAGTCAGAGAACTGGAAGATGGTTTCTGGGTTATTGCTGTCTGTAGGGTTTGTTGGTTGCAGTGTCTTTGTAGGTGTAGTTTTACCATGAGAATGAGAGGAAGAAGAATGTGAACTTTCACTGGAGCTGCTACGTGTCTCTGTGCTTGTACTCGTTTTTTTCATTTTCCTTCTCTTTGCAAGAGGTGCCTTGTCAACATTCTGGAGACAAAATCCTTCCCTTTTGTACTTGTTAAAGGCCTGTTTAAAAATAAAAGGTAATTCTAAGCTTTTCAAGAGGTTTGAAACATTTTATGGCTCGTAGCTTATTAAGAATGTTCTATGGTAAATCACAAGATAAAACTGTAATCTCTTGACAGATCCCTACAAATTCTTACTGTAGCTGTAACTAACTTTACTAGCCTTTACACATATTTAAGAGCCAATATATAACATTATTAATTGGCATCTTCCCTTTGTTCTTTTAAATTTAGAAGTATTATTTATTAAGCCTTAAACCTATTTAAGAATACAGTTTCAGAAACTAGACTTAGATTAGTTTTCCTTTCAGCCCAAATTACGTTGCATTACTGGGACCTCTCCAAGTAACAACTCCTTTCTTTTTCTCTTCTTCGTAATAAGTGTCTACAAGTATTTCAGCATAAGTCTGCTCAATTCCAGTTTATTCCCTGTAGAAGGAATCATGAGAATCAACACTATGTTTGTATAATACAATTGCAGCTCAAACATTTTTAGTAAATATACAATGGTAGACAGGCAAGTCCATTAAAAAAAAAAGATATTAAAAACATGAATTAGAGATGTTCCAGAAATTTTACCTCGATTTTGTAACCAAAAGGACAAAAAGTCAAACAGTTACTTAAGTTAAATAGAAACTTTCTACTCTTTTTATAAAAGTTTGAAGACCTTTTAATAGATTTCTCAAAGAAACAGAACATTTGTAATAGCTATTTTGTGAACAGCTGTCTCTCAGTCCCCAAAACCCCACTAGTGTAAATGTCTTCAAGAAATTTATTCTCGCTTCATCATTCATGTTTTCAGTGTACTCAATCATAGATGTTGTGAATGGAGGAAAAAACTGCAGCTATAGGCAATCATGGAAATATAAGGACAAATACTTATTTTTCATTAAGAGAAAATGTACATAGATCAACACATTACAAAAAATTTAGCCCATGACATAAGATTTCTTAGAACTTACATGAAAAGTGGCTTTGACATACGTATGCACCGCAGCTCCTGAGGAGCCTAAGTTATCGGGAGTCATGAGAGGGTTGGATGACAGTTGGCTGCCATCCTGAAGCCATTCGTTGTACCTCAGGCTGGACATTTTAATTCTTTTGTTTGGATCCACTGTTAGAAGTCCTAATAGAAATACATTACATTCTCTTAAAACTCTGAGCTATTTATCTTCTTTTAATAGAAAACGCAATTATTTTTTTTAAGAAACTTATCAAAGCAATGCATGAGATTAAGTAATGACAATATTTATCCTAGGTAAGCCAATATTTATCTTAGATAAGGCTCACACGATGTTCTACTATCACCCTCTCCAGAAGAATCATTAATGCAAGAAACTGCTCTTTAACTGTTTGATAACTCACATCTCTCTTCACACAAACACCGAACTACCAAATGATTCCTTCACTTAAAACCTGTCTAGGATGAAATTCAAGAGAGTTGGCCTCAGGATGGAGTTCAAGGATGAGTTGGCCTCAGATTCTCTGCAGGATTCACTGAAGCCTGAATCTGGAGATGGCCAAGCTTTGGCAGAAAAATACCTCACAAGCCTGCTTCTACAGAAATTCAGAACTAAATCTTAGTAGAATTAAGACTGGTGTCTATCTCGTGCTGAAAACATAATTAGATGCTCAAAATCTGAAGAAGAATCAAAGCATGGCAAATGTGAATGAAACACTCAGAAATACAACGGTCTTGGTACACGCATTTAAAAACAGCCCGAGGGGAAAAATGACAGTAATATATTCATTTTCTGCAAAAGCTCAGCTTTTAAAACATTTATCTCATAACCTAGCGTTTTTACAAAAGCAAAAATAACATAGAAGAAAAACTCTGCTTTTAGGTACCTTTTTAAGAGTGACTTCAGTTTTTCTGAAGCTCTTCAGTTACTTCTAACCCCACTAACCTTCTATCAGCATCTCATGACATCAGAAAGCTCTCTGCCAGGGGTACAAGCAATTGTAAAAGGTGATGTGTCACCTTTCCCCATAACTTTTACTGGGGGTCAGTACATGGCCCAAGCTGTGGATATTATTCTGTCAAGTCAAGCACTCACAGCATCCAGATATTGCACAGTTCTCTAAATTTTATCTTTTGAGATAAAAATATAAATTACACGAAATATTTCTGAATACATACCTTGAATTAACTCCTTCGCCTCTTCAGAAACATTTTTCCAAGCTTCTCCTTCAAAGGAAAATTCTCCCTTTTTTATTTTCTTCATAATTTCCAATGCACTGGTACACGTTAAACTTTTGTCTTGAGACTGAAATGGTACCTGCCCTGATAGCATTGTATACTGTCACGAGAATAAAAGCAGTATTAACAGACACAGTGTATTTATTGACAACCCTACTACTGAATATGGAGTGCTGCTGTTCGCATCACCAGCACTATACACTAAAACTTTGACTAGCATAACTTCAAGGCTACAGAAAATATAAATTATGCAACAATTTCTCTGGAGTCCTTGTTAGAAAAAACCCATTCATATATTTCAGGAAACTACAAACAAAACACAACAGTATTTCTACCCAGTTTATATCTACTGAAATTAATTTTCTGTAAATCAGAATGCAGGCTGACTCCTCTTCTGTATGAAACTGTAGGAAGATTATATGGATGCCTGTGAAATCTCCTAACGAGAATATCTCTTTTTAATAACGACAATGTATCAAGTATTTTTTCCACTCCCAGAAATGTTGAATTTAATTTACTGCTTAAGGGAAAAAAAAAGTCTCTACCCCTGGAAAACATGTGTCTTTGGAACCTGATATTTGTGGTGCGGTATTTTCACCTCACTTGAATTCAGCATCTACCCAGTTCAAGTCTGAAACTGTGTCAAGTCCTTTGCATTTTAACAAAAAAGAAAATACATACAATAAAGTTACAATTAAAAACCTCAATTACTTACCAAGATGACCCCCAAACTCCACAGATCACAAGACTCGTCATAACCATTGTGATTCAAGAGCTCCGGGGCAGCATAATGAAGAGTAAAGCACGGGGTCTTAAGAGGCTGATTATCAGGTGGTTTTAAACGAGCAAAGCCAAAATCAATTATTTTTATTTCCGAATTATCAGTTTCATCTGTAAACAATAAATTCTGAAAAGCAAAAAAAAAAAAAAAAAAAATCAGTATCAGCACTGGTTAGAAAATTGGTTAAAATACTTAACAGTTCTTTTTTTCCCCTACATGTATTACTACAGAAAATTTACCATTTACTATAGAAAAGGGGAACTGTGAGACACTGGGGAAAAAATGGAAAAGTAGAAATAACAGTACTCTGGGATGCAAGAAAATGTTGTGTGTTTATCTGTCCCCTGTATAGGCACAAGTCAGGAGACTTCTGTCTGAGATTATTAATGAAAATGGGTATTTAGCAGAGAGCAGTGAGGAAAATCATTTGGGGAACACTGAAAAGAGAGTAACAGAAATGGAGAACTGCCTTCTTCCTCAAACAAAGCACATTTTCTTAAGCTTCCCCTTCCTTCTGGCATGTTCCGAACGACAACCTCGAACCAATGGCCTTCCTGCATCACCATAAAGAAGCTTTGATACAGAAGTCCCTGAGAATCCCAGCTTTAAAGACTGAAAAGTTGGACTTGAAGACAGAGAAGCTGTTATCAGTTCAGAAAAAGATTTAAGACAATCTGTTCTTCTTTTCCCTTAGTATCTCCATTTGTCAACAGATAGCAGAGCAAAACTGTCTTAGGAAAACTGGCTGAGGCCTGAGAATTATAGATTATTTCTACTCTTCCCCTGAACTTCTGAGAGAAAAAAAGGAGAGCAAAACTTTTGCCTTTGGAGGCAAATTTATTTATGCAATGTTAGAAAGTCTCACTATTAGAAATCCTACAGCCCTAAGTAGTTTTGTAATACAAAAGGAGAATGACTCAACACAAGGTAATTCATTACAAACTCCTTGAGAATGGGAAAAAATTATTGCTAGGCTGCACACAGCTCAATAATGAGAACCTGAGAGTGTTCATTATGGATAAAAGAGAACAGCACATACAAACCAGCATTTTTGCATTCTGCACTGCTGTTAGAAGCTTAATGCACAACCAGAAAAGTCAGTTTCCCATTTTAAAATGTTGTGCAAAATCGATCTGAAGGAAGCTTAATTTCAGCAAAAATACTATTTCAATGAGGATAAGTGATTAATCCAATCATCTTTTTTCTATCCAGTAACATTGGTTTAAAAAGACCTCCTTTCTTAAGACAAAAATTAAATTGGTGATGTGAAGAAAGAAACGTTCTAATATGGGTTCATGCTAATTGTTCATTAGGTAAATAAAACGTCTCACAAAACACTTAAAGCTATACTCCATGTATATTTTGAGGATGTATAAACAACATTACCTCTGCCTTGGTATGTTTTTTCTAGTATCATTAGAACCCAGTCTATAGATTAATGATCACAGAAACAGTCCTCAAACCCTCTACTGAGATGCTCCAAATGGCCATGTTGCACAAATTCTTTATTTATGTGAATTCTCTATTTTCTATCCAGTACTTTCCCTCTATTTTGGAGAGCAATATACGTGATCGAATCACTATTGCTGAAATAGAAGAGTCTTCCAGTTGGTGCAATTAAAAAAATGTCTCATCCTTAGTGACCAACCGTATTTTTTAAAATAGGCTTATCAGTATCACATTAGATGTCAAAGTTGAACATCAAATAAATCTGACTGGAATTGTTAGAAAACCAACAGAATTCCTATATCTGTCATTTTTACAGAAAGGTGCGCTACCCACATCTGTACTGGGAAGCCTGCATATCCCATATCAAGTTCAAGTCTGAATCTGAAGTTTGAACTTTCAAAATCACAAGCAGGAAGGAGACAGGCTGGATAAGTCCAACATTCTGGAGCTGTTTGGAAACCCTTCATTACTAGGACTTCCCAGCCTTCTGTTCCTGAACATGATGTAGAATTGGAGATGGCCTGATTTACCCTACAGCTGAAGCTCTGCTTCACAGAACCTGGCCTTTACGTTCAAGGTGGTAGTAAGGCTACAAATGATGAAAGTAGGAAGAGAGAAAGGATTTCTGGGGTTTGTCCTTTTAATGATGACTTGCTTCCAAAGCTGTTTTCTTTCCCTCATGACCTCAGCAGAGAAACTTCTTCCAAGAGTCACATTTGCAACTGACGCATTAGAATTTCACAATAGCTCCTTCTTTATTTAATTGTTTATTTAGTACAGGGATTCCAGTACAGAGATGTTTTCAAACGCATTTATTTTGGACTGATGTTTCAAAAACAGTTTAATACCAACACCCAGTAGACAATTCTCTACGTGTTGAAATTACTATAAAATAAGTAAGTTTGTAATATACCAGGAAAGTGTATTACAAAAGGATGAAACACCAGCAGGAATGGTGGATCATTTTAAACTCCAGATAAAAAAGAAGCAGCTATTTCCTGAGGTACGATAACTGGAATCACCAATACAACATAACATCCTTATTGGATGAAATAACATCAATCTACACTATTCTAGAAAGAAAACTAACACATATCCAAGCCCATTGCTGGCAAAGAAAAAGGAGCAAATATTGGCTCCAGGAAGCAGAACAAAGCCAGTGGGTGACCTTAACAGTAAACTGAATTGTCTGGAAGATGCTGCCGCACAGTGAAAATACCAGAACAAGTAATTATTGAAAAAAACATATATGAAATAATTGTTTCTCTTAGGAAACTATTAACTGAACTCAAATCACACATCTTTATTAGTTGGCTGTATTAGGTTGTGGTTAATTTTGTGTTTAACTGGGAGAGAAGACAGTATAAGGGTGTTGCAGGTACCTCCAAAATCAGCCCTACTGAGGAAATTAGGATGAAACAAAAGGTGGAAATGTACAGGTACAACTGAGCTCTACTTGTGAACTGTTTCATGCAATAAATACATACTTACCACTAGTAAAAACTGTCTTCAAATAGGCAAAGAAATATTTTTGAATGAGTTGGAGTGTAAATTGCTTAAAAATTAAAAACATTCCCTAACGGTTACTTTTACCTATGAACTGAAAAACATCTACAGAATTTGCTAAGTAAAAGTTCTAACGTTTATTAAAAATATAGAAGTAGAAAAAGCTGGAGGAATAGAAATATGTCACATCCCAGATACTTAATAACTGAATGTCTAAACATATATAAGTAAGTCACTATACCTCAGGTTTCAGATCCCTATGGACTACTCCTACGTCATGCATATGGCTCACCGCTGAAACAAGTCTGCGCATAATATGACTGGCTTCAGTCTCACTGAAATGTTTCTTTTTTTGAATACGTTCAAGCAATTCTCCTCCCTTCAACAATTCCATCACTAGAAATGTGTGAAGCTGAAAAGATAAAGAAAAATATGGGATGTTAGAAATTTGATACTACAGACCAACATTCATTCAGGAGTTAGGTGCTACTTTGATTCTCAAAGTTTGAAGAAAGAACTCTGCTGCTCATACCAATATGGAAGCACCAAATTGTATCTCACATGGCATTTTTCCCACTAATCTCACTAAAACTGAAGAAAGTTGATGTCTTCCCCATGTCCACCCATATTTATTTACAAAACCACAATGCTGCCATGTAAATGGACAAATTTGTAGGGAGATGAAACGCCTTTCTTTAGGCTAACAAATAAAGCTAGAAAAGCTAGGCTTTTGCTGTTTAAGCCTGTTGTGATATAGGGATACATTTCTATTAATATGTGTAAGGAGCTAGACATCCAATGCTACCAAATCCTTTAAAAGTACCCTGAAACTTCACTGTGAAATCAAAAATTACCTAGAATTTCTTCCGATTTCATCCCCTACAGAGCAGTAGCCAAAGCTATTCTAGCATTAGAATCACAACAGACATCTTCCCAAACATCAAAGAGGATTTTTTTAAATTAAAAACATAATCGTTGTTTAGATGGTTGTTCTTTTCAAGACAATCAATAAGCAGTGACTTCCTGGATGACAAGACAAGATTAGCACACTATCAACCAAATGCCTTGCCATTAAACAAACAGCAGAGTTCTCAGGACAGGGAAGTGAGTTTTAGCACTGCCCAAAGGCAATGGCTGTGGGCACGCGATGGCTTCTAGCGTTTCCTTCCCCTGAATGACAGTAACAAAAGAAATATTTGCAAGCAAAGAAAAAACTTCTGGGAAGAGGTCAAAAAATGGAATTCAAAGAAACAGCCAGGAACAGAAGATGGACTGTGTTTAGATACCAAGGAACAGAAGCGGAGCTACTCAAACAGGAAGCAGTAACACTTCTGGGAACAAACAAGGTGTCTCCGAGTCACACTGCTGCTCGCGCTTGCAAATTCTATTTATGGCTTGGGAACAGCTGACAGGTAAATCAGAAAGGACTGAGACTCCTCTCTGCTAGAAAACTTCTTGTGGCTCACCAAAAGAGACTGCAGCCCAATACTCTATGGCTGGATTACTAATGTAGAATTTGATCAGACAGGTATTTGATCAGCAAGTTTGAGTAATCTGGAAAATGACACTTAGTTGCTGCTGGTAGCTCCCAGAACTACAATGGTTTGGTTGGCTGAGAGTGGCCTATTCAGTCACAGAGCAATCTGAGGAACATATTTTTTAGATATTCCTAAGTATAGTCAGTCATTTTACTCTAAGGAAAGTGAAACAGTGTCTTGTTCTAGATGCATGTACTCATACTGTACATAGATGTTAAAAAAAAACAGAAGGCTTCCTTACCATTAAAGATTACAGTACTTATTTTTCATCCTCTCAGCTCATTTTAGAAGTGCTCCAAGTGAATGCTCTGCTGGTTCTTGTATAAGCAGCACAATGGGGAGATGGGGTATGTGGGGAGGCAAGAGGGCCTAAGTTCCATTACAAAATCATGGACTGGAATCATGGAGTAGTTTAGGTTGGAAGGGACCTCTGCAGGACATCTGGTCCAAAGCCCCAGCTCAAACCAGGGCCAGCCTCCAAGTCAGATCAAGTTATGGCTTATTACATGCTGCATTACACTAAGGAAAAGGATAACTAAGGTCTCTAAATAAACCCTAAACTGATCTCAATAAATTTTCAAATAGAGGTTCTACTTTCACATTTGGTAATTTAGTAAGCTACTTGGTTATCTCCATTAAGTTACTAATATGTAAGAAAAAAAAAAAAGCTAGATATATAATCTTCATATGCAAGACTTTCACATTATTTCACAAAATATTTTTTTAAGATTCATGACAACTCTAAGGGAAGGTGATTAGGTATCTCAGTATCATAGATATGGAAACTGGACCATGAATATATTGTATGACGATTAACAAAGCAGAATAAGGACAGAACCAGGAACAGAATCCAGGACTCTAATTCCTCCAAATACTTTTTTGATTTGCTTGATCTGCTTGAATGCAGAACTTCTGCTTCATCTTCTACACTGACTACACAAAAGACCTAGGGAAAAAGCTGCCCCCACAGTAATACAGGACACTTAACTCCCAGAAGGCAGTGTGTTTGGCAAGTGCTGATTGTAGTTTCTTCAAAATACCTGGTCATGATAAACTTCATGCAACTTCACTACATTTGGGTGTCCTTCGCAGAGTTTCAGAGCTGTTATTTCTCTCTGGGTGTTGGCTTCCATTCTGGAAAAATTGAGCAGTCATTTTGTACCCATTCTACTGAGCAAACTGTACATTCAAAGAGTTACACCTAATTTTTAATTGCTTGCAATCCAGACTTTTTAACATTACAACTGCTTCACCACAATTAAAAGCATATTCAAAGAAAGCTGAGCAAAAGTCTCCACATAACCCTGAAAGTTAGAACATTAAAAAAACCACACCCAAATCAAACAATGTTTTTGATGCAACTGCAGCTTGCTACAGCAAACCTGACATGACATTATAGGATAGTTTCTATCTAAACCAAACCTTTCCCTTAGTCCAGGGCAATTTGACTTCACCTCTGTTCCTACAAATATTTGTTCGTTCAACTTTGTCTTGAAGACTCAAATTACTTTTCCATTCTTACAGGAGATAAGTACTTCTAAAGCTTTATTGAAACTATGAGCACCTACCAGAAAAGAGTGACACCATCTATGTATGAACTGTTACACAACTGAACCCCTAAACAGGCCATTGTAAAAATCAGAAATGGAAGAGATAAGAACAGAATAGCTCCAGAGCAAAAGTCATCACATAGACTCTCTTTCTGAAACCTGTATCTGATTGTCTTTCCTGAAATCTAGAGGGGGGGGGGGGGGGGCACCAAAAACAAGAAAAATTAAAA